TTCATCGTAATTTATCAAGTCCTCAGGGATAGTCAGACTGTTTCTCTCTTATGCCTTGCTCACTGCTACCCAACTATACAGTTTGTTCCTCCACATTCCCGGCACCAGCCTCAGTGAAAGCTGGCACACTTACTCTGGGGGATAGTGGGAGAAGGGAAGACTTTTCACATACTTTCGCTTCCCCCAGATATTTTCTGCATTCCTGTAAGCAAAATGTGATAGGTTTTAGGCATTTGTTGAAAAGTTCTGTTTGAAAATTTCACAATCAGTTCACAGTTCAAAGTACCCTTTCTTAGGGTGTTTTTTTCCCACTTGCAGATTTTATATTAAGTTCTATATTAGAACCATAGAAATATCAAACTTTCTTATAACTCAACAGCCCTACTAAAAAAAGTACTGTGCCCTCAGTAAAATCAGTGCCCTCAATGCCCTCCTTCATATGTTGAGGATCATAGTGTAGAGCGTATGGAAAACAAGTTTCTTGTAGACCAGGCAATATCTTTAATCTTTCTCACAATTTACAGGTATCTACGTACCCAACACTCAGATAGAGAGGGAATTAGCCAGGTGTAACCATCCCTGAGAAAGCTCTACATATACATTAACAACATAACCTTGATAATGATACTACATTGTATCTTTACATAGGCAACAAGTTTGAGACACATGGCATAACTATTTCACTGCTATTGTTATGATTTGTAAGAAAGTCAGATCTGTTCAGATGGAGGATGAAAGTTAATTTTTTTTTTTAAGCAGTGAAGGCTGACACTTGGCCTGCTCTCTGCTACCCTTTCAAATCTGGTCAAGCAGCACAAAAGGAGATACCCGGACCTGCTACAGCAATACTTCAAGCAAATCCCAATTTTTATAACCTCCTCCTCATTCAAAGTCTCATAGCCAGATAAACAATCAGGTAGACATAGCTAGCTTCTGTGTTCAGTGCCTCTTTTTTCCCCAGGTAGGTAGTTCACCAGGTAAAACTATGTTATTACCTTCAATCTTAAGCCCTTAGCTAAGTGAGCACAAACACAGTTAGCTGCTCTCGCACACTGTTCACTTAGAGTCATCAGAATATGAAAAAAAACATTTATTCTCTTACTTACTCTCTCAATTAAACAACCACCAGTAGAGCTACTTGGAGTTAAAAGTACACAAAGAGGAAAAAAAAATCCAACTTCCAAGAAAGATGAAAGAAATATCTAGGAAAACAGATAACTCGTTTGTTTTTGGCTCATACCGTTTAGCTCGGTTTGACTTCCAACTCAGTTGTTTAGCATTTGTCCACTAACTTCACAAAGATTGCAGGTTATTACTAAGACCAGGTTAGAATTTTTAGAGTGCAAACGTTTTCCTCGTACCATAATTCTTTTAAGTAGTTTCTCTAATGCTCTATATACTCCTCATGGAGACCAGGTGCTTGGTGTTTACTAATCTTGTCAACTAAGCAACACAAACAGACTGGTTACAGCTGTAACATTAGAAGGTTGCATTCCCCTGACCCTTCTTGCAGGAGTACCCAATTAAGCTGGGCAGTTCTCACTCCATCTTATTCAGATATATCACCAGGGCACGTTTCTCAACAAAATCTTTTTTTTAAAGTGGTCCATGACCATTCTTACTGGCAGACTATAAGGTATCTTACAGCTAAATTAATTTACTGTTGAAAACAGTAGTTATTTTTTAATGTGTTTGCCTCATGGACAAAGACACTATTAAGAAGCAAAAAGTTACTGACCTTTTTAGGAAGGACTAACAAGTCTGACACTAAAGTGTCATGTGATTATAATAATCACTCCCTACCAAAAAAAAAGCTCATTTTTTTCTGATTTATTCATTCATTTAAAGAAAGAGATAAAAGGAAATGAAATCTCTCTTATGTCAATTCTCATCACATGGCTTTTCTTTTTCTAGGTCTGCTTTGTGTCTAATCTTTCTTACATCTTTTATGTCATATCTTTTCAGATGATCTAGACCACATCCTTGGAGTACACTATGAGCTTGTAGTAGAGTTTTCTCTGGTTTTTTAATGCCTTGTTTGCTTTAATATATTTAATGCTTGTGAAATATGTCAGAGATTTAGTCCTCAAGCGGTAATACTAGCAAAGCAAAAGTTCTAACGGGGGGGCTTCTCCACGAAGCTTGGCCAACACAGCTCAGTGCCATCTCATCCTACTATTTATTACAGTTTCTACCACCTTGCCCAGTGGAGATGTCAGGCATATTGGTATGTAGTTTCCTGGATCATTCATGGAGTACTTTTAGGCAGTCATATTTATGTCACCTTCCAATACGACGTAGTATCACTAAATAAAAACTTAGCACTCCCCCTAGCTACAAATTAATTTAAGTTTCCAAGATGAATATATCTGATCATCCCAAATCATTATTGCTTATCTTTTCCATTCACTCTATTGATAATTCAGTTTAAGATATATTCTCTGTCTGGTCATCCTCATGGGAAGAGTTCTGCTGTGGAATTCTTCCCAAGATACTCTCCAGTGAACAGAAAAAATCCTCCTTACTTTCTCCAGTTTTATCACAATTCCTCTTCCCACCCAACCTTGATTCTCTGTGGATCCTCAGGATTCTCTTCTCATAAATATTAAAGTTATTAATATCGAGTCCTTTTTGCTAGTTGTTGCTCTAATTCATTTTAGCCTGCCTTAATGTGTTTCACATTTCACAAAGATTTATGATCCTTTCTGTTTCCTTTTTTGGACACAACTTTCTTTGTGTCCTTCTTTTTGGAAGATGCCTTCTTTTTTGACAATTGCCCTACCTCTGTGTATTAACTATGTTGGCATCCTTCAGAGCTTGGCCCTCCACTGATACCACAGGAGTACAAACAGTCCTGCAGCAAAGTCCCAAAGAATATAATGCAAACATTGGACTACGGACTTCCAGTGGACCCTGTAATTTTCATTCACAATGTACTACTAGTCTCATTGCTATGATTAAAACCAGCATCAAGCTTTTTATACAATATCCACATCCCAAAGCACAGCAAGGAGTACAGAACAATTCAAATGATCAAAGACTACTCTCATAGTACCGGAAAAAGACCCTCTACACAATCTTTTGGGAACTGTTAATTCCTTTCCCTAGTTCACTGCTGGTATACTGAATTAAAGCTTTTAAGTTTACAAACACTGCTTGGAATTGTGCCAGCGTGACTGATGCAAGTAAAATTCTAGGACCCCTAAATAAGTGGGTGTCATATTCAGACACCAGCCCCCTCACATATTAAGAGCTGTATAGTGGGAGCTTGACTTAATTTGTGTCAAATAAATGCCTGAAGAATGTATCTGATTAATAACAAGGACATAACAGGAGAAAGCATTGGCACAAAACAGAAATTATTTTCTGAGGTAACAAATGCATACTCCAAACTGGAATTAAAACAAAATCGCAGAACTCAGAGGGACTATTGTAGAGCATGTGGGTGTTAGATAAAAAGGCTTTGTGAGGAACTTGCTACAGTACTTAAACATAGAGAGTCTAGTAGAATACTGCCATGAAAACTGACTACACGCTTTATTGCGCTCTGCTTGAAAACAGCTTAATGCCCTGCTTTTTCACAGAATTCTTTGTACAGTCCAAGGGAAAAAAAAAAATGTTGCTACCAAATGACAGGAACTTTGTCTGCACTTTAGGCCTCTAAAATTTTCTCTGCTGAGTCATGTCATCTGACTGGTCACACAAGAATACATGTCAGCTTGTAGCTTGTCATGGAGTTGATTAGAGATTTTTTTTGAAGGAGCTGAAGCTAATGTGCTTAAGCTATTGAACAAAAATGTCATATATGCTTTTTATGTGCACTTTGTTCTCCACATTAAATTATATGCATCATAGCTCTTTAAGGACAAAATTATTGATGCACAGCATATGCACTCCTTTAACCACCGCAGTTTACCCTAGCAAAGTATTATCAAATGTAAGAGTTCATAAGACTATAGAAAGGAAATTAGCATGCTCTATTTTCTTCTGCTATTTAGTTGTGATCTCTCAGATTTTTTTCCCTAATGATCTAATCTTGTTGAAAATTTTGGGTCCGTGTTGTATTGATGGGCCCCTCTGGTAATTGGAGTAAGTTCCCAAAGTTATTTTTTGGCTCTTGTAGGCCCTACATTTTATGTCTAGTAACACTTCACAAAATTACTCTGTCTCCAATTTTTTATTATTGCTTCCTATGTCCTACATGTTTTCATTTAAGATGTACATTTCTTGTGTGTCTTATGTTTACAAAGCATGTTTCTGCTGGAGGCTGCCTGGTCTCAGCCCAAGCTAACAGAGGTATTTACAGACTTTAAAATTTCAGCACTGTACTTTCATATATTTTCATTAGTTTGGCCTCTTCTTATACTTTCACTGCAACCCCAGTATGTTCTTTATCTGACTTATCTTCAAACTGAAAGAGGGGAGATTTAGATTAGCTATTAGGAAGAAATTCTTTCGTGTGAGGGTGGTGAGACACTGGAACAGGTTGCCCAGAGAAGTTGTGGATGCTCCATCCCTGGAGGTGTTCAAGGCCAGGCTGGATGGGGCTTTGGGCAACCTGCTCTGGTGGGAGGTGTCCCTGCCCAGGGCAGGGGGGTTGGAACTAGATGATCTTTAAGGTCCCTTCCAACCCAAACCATTCTTATCTATGATTATCCCCATTTTGCAGACTTAGCACTCTTTACCACAGTTTGCCCCCCCTGAGGTGAAAAATCTGTGGCTGGAGTAGCGAGGCCTCGTAAATAACTCCGACATCGAAAAACATCAACAAATAAGCAAGTGCGACATGGGAGGCAGTTTTCGCTGCGCTCCCTACAGAGAAAAGTCTCATAAATACACGGCAGCAGCGCTTACTTTCTGGGCAGTTTCAAAGGAAGGCCGGGCCGGAGGAGGGGCCGCCGCCTCACAGCCCCGGGGCAGCCCCCGCCTGTCTCGTGCGGGGCCCCGGCCGCCTCGCGCTCCTCCCAGGCCGGGTCCCAGCCCCCCGCCTCTCTGTGGGGACTGGCGCCGGGCCGGCTGCGGGCGAGCCGGGCCCGCACGCTACCGCCTTTCCACAACCCGCGGGACCCTTCCAAGCCCGGCCGGGGGGAGCGGCAGAGTCTGCCCGCCGTGCCTCTCCGCACCCTCTCCCGGGGCCCCGGCAGCAGAGCTGTGAGGGGAGCGCCGCGCCTCCCCCGCGGCAGCCGGCGATGGAGCGCGGCGGACCGGAGCCGCCGCCGGCCGCCGCCGCTCACCAGGTAGGGAGGCGGCAGGGAGGGGTGAGGTGGGGAGCTCTCAGCGGCTCGGCAAGCCCGCCGGCATTCCCCTGGCTTCTCCTTACCCTCCTCGGACCATCATCGCGGGACGCTGGAGGGGATGGGGGCTATGAAGGGCACCGCGGCCGCTCTGGGTGGGCTTTATAGCCGCCTGAGGCGGCCGGGCGGGTGGGCGCTTCAGCCCCGGTTCCGCTGATGAGCTGACGGCAGCTGCGGCTATTTAATCTCTCTTCAACTTCCCCTGACTCCTCTGAGGAAGAAAGAGCCACAGGTAGCAGGCAGGGGAAAAAAATGCAGGCTCGGGCGCCTTATTCCTGTGGGACACAGTGCGGGGGACACTCTGGCTGCTTGGTGGGGCTAATATTCAGTCTGGCTTGAGGAGCAGAACTCGGGTGCCCGGATCTCCTGGTGGGCATGCCGTTATCAGTAGAGTAGGGCTATATCAGTACTTTATCAGCCGTAGTGAGCAGCCTTGGATGTTTCACAGCATGACTTTCCCTGGGAGAGGACCCTGCAAGAGGCAAACGCATCCCATTCACCTCTTCTGCAGCCTTCCAAGTTGCATAGCTTGCTCAGGCTGCCTCCCAACAGGCATTTCTTCCCCCATCCACCATCCGAGTGCACCTTCCAGAGTGCTAGTGTTCACACAGGAGCTGTTTGAACCTGTGTCACAGTTTTTTGCCTTCTCTTGTCCCTTTTGCCAATTCAAATGTGTTTCTTTCAAGTGGGGAAGGGAGCAGGGGTCTGGATAGTGTCTTTGAGCTGGACAACGCACATTGTGTTTGTTTTCTTGTATCAACTGAGAAGAGGGAACTGGACTCTTCTAGTTCAGTGCAATTTCACGTGCACTGTGCTGTAAGTAGCAGAAAGCATTAAAATTTCAAGAGACTATGGCAGTGATGCTTCTGCTGCTCAAATCAGTGGTGAAGTAAGATGTAATGCCTGTTAAGTCTAGATGAGAAACAGCTGAGGGATCATGTTACAGATAAAACAGCATGTGATATGGCAAAGATAAGTAGGAAGTGATCATTGGGTTTTCTGTGATGCTAGACAGATTTTTTGGGACACTGAGTGGAGCTGCTTAATGGCAGGTTCAGATCAAAGAAGAGCACCTGTCTCTTCATGCAATGCATAATTAAGATGTGGAACTCACAGCTGCAGGACATTGTAGATGCTAAAAATATATGTGACTTCAAAAAAGGGCAAATTCAAGGAGCAATCCATTAATGGATGTGATGCACCAAGAACATGCCTGTTTTGAGAAGACTGGCATAGGCAAACTGATGAAATCTGGGACGGGAAAGTTATTTGCTAGCTATCTATTCATGTTCTAACATTCTTCTTTAGGCACCTTTCATGGCCACCCTCTGAAATGGGATACCAGGCTATACTGGCCTTTGATCTGAGCTAGTCTTACTATTCTTGTGTTAGTACTGCTTAAGGATTAAAGGTTCCACTTAACTATGTAACTGTCCTTAAGGCACTCTTATGCTTGTCAGCTTATACCACTATCTACAGATGATTTAGATTTATCAGTCATTTAATTTTTTTCCATGAGTATTAGTGACAAGCATCAGAGTTTGTATTACCTGCTATATATGTTAAATAGGCTCCTGCATCCATGAAATAGTGGTTTTATTTTCATGGTAAGTACAGAATGTTTTACTTCTGTAGAACACAGATGGGCATTTTCTTCACTAAATGTGTGTTCCTCTTTTGAATTACACAACTTCATTTAAAATACTGGTCTTGTAATGAATGATTCTAAAATGTTCTCTGACAGCAGAGTGGTGATCTAAGGATAGGACCACTGCTAGCTTATGAAGAAATGCTTTTTGAAGATAAGAACTTTAACTTTTGAAGCTACTGGCTACAGACTGTGCTTTGAACTTTGGTTTGTACCAGACCTTCCCACAGAAACTTTCTGGGGCTAGCCAGTTTTATAGTGCCATTAAGTATTCATAATAAACTAAACCATTGAATGACACAGAAATATATAAATGCTGGATAAAACCTTAAATTAGAGCACCTTCAGCTGTTAGCATACTTTACTAGTAACACTTGAAATTGATTTCATTCTTCTGATTCAGGGGCCTATTTTTACTGACTAGTCATTTTAGCCAAAATATTTACAAAAATACTTGATTCACATTTCTGCCTTTGCAACATGACTAAAAAGCTCTTTGTTTAACAGTCTGCCTCTCGATTTATGCAGATTTCTGTCCCTCCACTTTTTTTTCAGAGAAGAATTAATTACAGAAGATTATAGGTCAGGCTTCTAAAGGAATTAGATGCCTAACACCCCTTTGATTTCTCACTGAAAAAAATGGGATTTAGTTTTCAAAATACCTCTACTAATCTGAGTCTTTTCTTTCTTTTTTTTTTTTTAATTCTAAATGGACTATATTAAATGTGTCAAATCCTTGTTCTCACTTATTTTTCTCATGCATAATGTTATCATTGTCTTCTTTAAATAGGTAGAAACAGATGACCAAACAGCCCTCGTTAGCAAGCCCAGGAATAAAGGAGGAAACAGTGATCTGGCTTCAGCTGGTTTTAACATTATCAACTCTATCATAGGATCAGGCATTATAGGTAAGCATACTTTTCTTTAGTATCCTGCATTCAGCCTGGTTTATGCATGCATGACTATCCACTCTGGAAAATAACACTGTGTTCTTACTTTTTTCTGATGTTCCTAAAGATTTTTCTCTATATTTACTTGCTTACTATGTGAAAATGCAGAGATGTCAGCTGAGATCATGTCTCAGTGATAAATACCCTACAGCCTCGTTTGCCATAGTCACAGAGTCATAGAATGGTTTTGGTTGGAAGGGACCTTAAAGATCATCAAGTTCCAACCCCCCTGCCATGGGCAGGGGAAACTCCTACTACACCAGGTTGCTCGAACCCACATCCAGCCTGGCCTTGAACACTTCCAGGGATGGGGCATCTACCACCTCGCTCGGCAACCTGTTCCAGTGTCTCACCACCCTCATAGTGAAAAATTTCTTTGTAATGTCTAGTCTAAATCTACCCCCTTCCAGTTTGAAGCCATTACACCTTGTCCTATCACTGCATGCCCTTGTAAAAAGTCCCTCCCCATCACCTCTGTAGGTCCCCTTTAAATACTGGAAGGCTGCTATAAAGTCTCCCTGGAGCCTTCTCTGCTCCAGGCTGAACAACTCCAACTCTCTCAGCCTGTCTTCATAGGAGAGGTGCTCCAGCCCTCTGATCATCTTTGATGCCCTGCTCTGGACTTCCTTCTTATGTTGGGGGCTCTAGAGTTGGATGCAGTATTCCAGGTGGGGTCTCACCAGAGCAGAGGGGCAGAATCATCTCCATCTCAACCTGCTGGCCGTGCTTCTTTTGATACAGCCCAGGATGCAGTTGGCTTCCTGGGCTGCAAGTGCACATTGTTGGCTCATGTTGAGCTTCTCATCCACCAACACCCTCAAGTCCCTCTCTTCAGGGCTGCTCTCAATCCATTCTCTGCCCAGCCTGTATTTGTGCATAATGATTAGAGAGAACTGATGGGGCAGGTGCTGACAGAGCTTTATACTGAGCAACACTTTATTCACTAAAAATAGTCTTTCTTAGGTTATTAAGCATTCTGTTCCAATTTGGGAGATTGAGATTATTATTTTTTAATCTGAATATATTTTTTTTTGATTGTCAGCAAATAAGTACTTGGAAAGGTTCTATAATCTCTCCTTTTCTTATTTACAGGATTGCCATATTCAATGAAGGAAGCTGGTTTTCCACTAGGAGTATTGCTTTTACTTGGGGTTGCCTTTATCACAGGTACTCTAAAAGCAGTTTCTATTGTAAAGTGAAAATTAGTCTTGGAATGTTTACCTGATCTTGAGCTTAATATCTTAAACAGGTATATCTATGACAAGAAAAATGACAAATTTTTTCCTTACCTCACTAATCTCTTGAGCAGATTATTAAAAGTAGAGAATTATACTGTACAGCATATAAAGCTGCTTTTTGTGTGCATTTTATTCTCATAAAGCCTGGTTTCTTAGACTAGGTCAAGGTGACATTTGGAAGAATAGCTCTTATTTGTGCCTCATAATCACCTGTTTTAGTCCACGGTTTTTACCCTAATCAAGAGACTGATCCTTGAGTGGGTCGTTTATCACTTTTCTTAGGTATACCACAGAACAAAAACACAGTACAACATGGTTGTACTATGATTTTAAATATTTTATTTAATTATTATTTGTCAAAAAAATAATGGATTTACCTTCAGCAAGAAAAGTTTTAAAGTCACATAGTAAATAAACATAAGTAAAATCCATTGGCATCAAAAGAGAATTTTCATAAAGACTCTGTGGATTCAAGTCTTAAAACTACAATCCAAGTCAACGTGAATGGCACAAATTCTGTTACCTGCATGCTGAGCAGCAGTTGATGCTTTTCAGTGCTTGAAATATCATTTCAGGATCTGCATAAATGATCAAGGTTTGCCTGGAGAGCAATATAACGTAAGGAATGTGTTCCTTACGAATGGAAATTTTTCTCTATAGCTGATAGCAAAATACATTAATTAAATCATATCATAAACATAGCTCAGAAATTTCAGTTACTTTTCTGTAGGAAATCTGATTTGTCCTTTGAATTTCTAAGTATTTTGAAGACTTTATAGCCCTAGGCCCAGAGCTTGTGAATTAAACTTAGTATTTTAATAGGTTAAAGATGTGACTCAATGTATCTTGCACAAGCAAATTATAACTATAGTTATAGCTTTTTTACTTGTAGCATTTAAAGTACAGGCTAAATGTCTAACATTAGCATTTATTTTCTATAGCTTTTTATAAAAAATTGGCAAATAGCTGTAATTTAGCAATTTTCACCATATTTCACTTTGGGGGATGTTTTTGTGTTATATTGGGTGTAGTCCTAGATTGATAGAGAAACACAATTTTATGTCATTGGACTATAAATCTTTTTCAAGTTTTGTGGATCTAAGATTCCTTACTATAAAAACTTAATGTTTCTTGTACAAGATCAGCTCAGTGTGCAACATAATGGGTAATGAACAATTCTGTGTTTCTGTTTTTGTCTGCTCCCAATTAGTGTGAGTGAGTATATATGGTCTAAGAATTGTGTATGCTCATGGGAATCTCTGGATTGGCTTACACATTAACGAACAGTAGAAATCGCCTTTCTAAAGACTGTGAAAATTTCATCATTTTTAGTCATCCCCAGAAGATAATATTAACACCGATACTGTTCACAGAAAGGAACTGTTCCTATCACAGCATAGATTACAAGCTAAGTGAAAGCCAGATGAGGAATAGACGAGGTCTAGCTACTATCTGTCAAGACATCTGCACTAAGGTAATAAATTCTGTGCTGTAACTAATCTGGACTGGAAAATCCCATTGTGCTCAAATGAATACTAAAGCATAGCTTGGCATAACAGCAATATTTTTGGACTGTTCTTCATAAAAAGTTGAGATTCAAGCTGGGAGTAATTCTGCCTGTGTCATCGGCTCTGTCTCAAACTGCATTGCTTCATTAATTTCCAGATAAATCACTGGATACTTTTAAAACGTGCACAATAAAAAAGTTTAAATATTTTTATTGTAAATGGAGAAAATATGAGATACTAACAAGGTTTTACCTTTCTCAAACTTAGCTAAATAGCAGAGTAAAAGGATTGAGAGTTATAGCACCCTGGCACAGGCAGTTCTCACGTTTTACTCATTTTCAGGATATAATCAGATGCTCCATCCAAGAGCCCTCTGCATTATTAATTGAATTTTCCTTTTTTGGTGCTCATGACAGTTCTTGTTCCCTTTGACCATACTGAAAACCAATGAAAATGTCTTTGTTTCTGCTGTTCCTAGTCAGGAAAGCTGGAATTTCCTTCAAATATGAGCCTATAACTCCTGGTTTCGGTGAATTGAGGTCCTTTGTGAGATTTGTCATGCCTGCTCTTCCTACTGCCACTATTTGCCTTCTTACAGACTATTTTTTTTTTTAAGGAGTGAAAAAGATGAGCCGTAACCAACCACAAGTTGGTTCGTACTGTCTTTAACAGTAATTTGATATTTTAACAGATTATTCCATTATATTACTGATCAAAGGAGGAAACCTTTCCAGTACCAACACCTATCAAGAGCTGGTCAGAAAAACATATGGTCTTGTAGGCTATCTAATTCTTTCAACTCTTCAATTTTTGTATCCATTTATTGGTAAGATCACATAAATTATAAATTTTTAAGTTTTATAAGTAACTAGCTTTTTCACATTTATTCTTTCACTGGTTAAATATTAAGAACTCTTGTGAAGAATATACTGTATATGCCTCTTTCCTGTAAAAACAACAAAAAAAGAAAATTAAAAATTACTTGTTGTGTTCTGAAGAATGACCGAGGAAGAATTCGATGAATTTGGGGACCAGAATAATAGAAATGAACTGAAATGTAATAGCAGAGAAATTCATGATCACATACTTAAAAATTAATGACAACAGTAGCTATGAGAAATAGCAAAGAAGAGATTCTGTTCTAGAATGAGTAACAGAGCACAAATTTCATGTGCCTCAAACAAAAGGAAAATATGACTTCAGGAGTATATTGAATTAATGTTTTTCTAAAGATGTGGCATTGCTGCCATTGGAGAAGCCATTGATCAGAACTTGCTTGAATGTTATGTCATTGCTCTTCAAAAACATTAATTCAGCCTCATATCCAATGAGTTGAATTTATTACAGGTAGCTGAGATTTTTAAGGGGACTTGAGTTATTGTTACTGCAGGCAACAACGTTACACATGTTGACTTAAAAGAGTATAATTACTACTTCATAGAGACTGCGGAAAAGAATTGTAAAGATCTCAGTCCTTACCATGGAACTAGTTATGCATATGTATGTGCTTGCATTTATTTCTGTAAATAGTGTTAATGACTTATAATTTTGCAGCAGTGAATATTTATGCTTTAGTTAAGGTCAATACCTATATATATAGACTGTCTAAATGGTGAAGGCTACATGAGTGTATAAGTGTATTTTGCATGTATGTATACATATATGCACACTTCTAGTGTAGAGTAAGATAAGAATGAAATATGAATGTTAAGGTCCCAGTTCTCATTAATGAGAGGAAGGACTGGAAGTCCATATCTGATATCTTCAACTATTTTCTCCTCCTTTCTTCTGGTTTAAACATTTTGCTAACTTTTTTTACATGAGCTAGCAAGTCCTTTGCATCTCACTGCAGGACTGATTATTAGACTAACTCAGGAACTTTACTAAATAGAAACAAGAATTTAAAAATATACTGATGAAGAATTACTGTTAAAAACAAACCATTTTTAAAAGCCTGTTTCCCCTTTTCTGAAGTAAGTTTATATGGGCAGACAGCACAATGGCCATACTTCTCAGACCGTATTCATGCTTAGATTGTACCTGTTTAAAAAAAAAAAAGATAAAAATAAAGGTGAGCATTAAAGACTTTTTATTTTGTTTTAAACTTGAAACTTAGAAATTGTTGGTGCCAGACAGACAGTGGCATGTAATCCTGACATCTACAAAATATGTGTATTAAATATATATCAAATATTTCATATTTGAGGTATACTAACAAAAAATTTTATTTTCTTTAAGCTATGATTAGTTACAACATAATAACAGGAGACACTTTAACTAAAGTTTTTCAGAGAATTCCTGGAGGTAAGATTCATTTAAAAGATTCCTAATGGGGAAAATGTATTGAAAGGAAATATAGCATAAGTATTTAGGAATTAGCATCCTGTGTCAGTCTGAAGTCCTACCTGGTACTTTGCTTCTGAATTACTCTGAAATATAGTACAAGTTAAGAACTCGAAGCATATTTGTATCAGTGGTGGTTTGTGGTGGTGGTGGTTTTTTTCAATAAGTCTCTCTGAAATAATAACTATGAATCTTAGTCCTTGGTTATCATTGGACTCAGTGTCAGTGAGTAGACCACATGCTTCAATGAAATACTAAGCAAATAGAAGTAGTCTTCCACAGTAGTATATTTGTAAGGTCATCATATTTTGTCATCTTTTTAGATACTTGCTATAATAATCATTTGAATACTGAAACTGCACATTATCTAGTGAATAATTCTGGATCACTTGCAAACAGATTTAATGCTTACTTAAGTGTATCTATCATAGTTGGTCATGAACTGCAAATGTAACTTTCAGTTCTCTTAGATATTCACTGCCAAACCAGATGTGATATTTTGAGATATTAACTCATGCACTTGTTACCCTTTCTCTGTTGTAAGTTTTCACAGCAGAATCAGAGAAGCATTTGTGTGCATGTTTGCTGGCTTTGTGCTAAGGCAGATAGCTAAGTTAAAACATTCTTCACTGTCAAATTAAACTAAAGAGAACATGTCTGCAATGAAGTAGAAATTAAAATTTGTATGAACTGATTTCTGTAGGAGGACTGTAATTTTCAGCAGATGAAGCCTGCAACTTGTGGATGCAGTTTTAACTGCCACACTCTGTTCTTCTGTGAATACCTGATCAAGTTGATGGTGACAGTGAATACCTAATCATTTATATGTAGTAATACTTCTATAATAGGAGGAACGCCCAGCATGGCACACCTTTGACCTGGCTGGTAGAATGCCTGCCTGAAAAGAGGTGGGAAAGTATTATAATCTCCCAAAGAAGAGAGGGAACTGAACACAGACTGTCCCTGTCAATTGCCTGTCACTTTCCAGCCGTAATTATTCAGCAAGCTTCATTCAAGTTCATGATTCATGGTAGCCTGACTGAAACTGAGATATGTTTTGTTTTAAGTTATCATTGGTTTGAAAACAAAAACACCAGTTAAACAAATAGATCCCACTGATTATAGGGATATATTATAACACTGGTGTTGCCTTCGCATGGTAATCTGTATTTTGCAAGTGGAAGATGGCTGACAGCAAGAAAGGAGGTGCTCAAAACCCCCTGAAAATTAACTTAGGTGAGGATTGTTCTTTACAAATTTGCTTATCTTTAACAGCACAGTAATTGATGTCAACACACAGTGTCAAAAAATCCTCAAGAGTAAATGGCAGAAAGAAGTAGTAGAATGTTTTACTTGCAGTCTGCCAACATTGACCCAGGCATGATGAAAAATAATAATAATAATTTATGTGTAGAAACACCAGACTTCCAAAGTTTCTTATAATATATTCCTTATATTACGCATTTGGTTTAAATTTGCAGAATTCTTGTGATTCTGCACATGCTGTATACGGTTTCCTCAAGGTTAATTAATGCCTAGTCTTTATTTCAGTGTTACTTAGCTTGGATAAAGGGGATAAAAACCTGGTCAACATCAAAATTTGTTACTCCTAACCTTTCAAATATAACTGATCTGTTCCTATTGTCAGTCTCTTAGAGAAATAATTGTTTTCTTTTTTTGCTTTAGTTGCACCAGATAACATGCTTACTGACCGTCACTTGATAATTCTTCTTACCACCATCATCTTTACCTTGCCTTTATCTTTGTATCGAGACATAGCAAAACTGGGAAAGGTAAATCAGAATAGCAGCTGGGGTTTGGTTCACTTTTCTATATACCATTAGAAAATAAGTGCCAGTCATAACTTTGTCTTTGAACTCAGTTACATCGGGCCAGAGCATGTTAAATATTTTAGAAGTTTTGACCGTCCCAAGAAACATCAGAAAACTTGCAATAGTTTAAGAAAAACTTTAGTCTCCATATGAATCACTGGAATTTTTCCATCTACTGCTAGTAGAACTCAAATCTTGTAAAGTACTGGGTGATGCAGGCTTAATCTTGTAAATGCTGAGCACTGTTGATTAGAAATGTTTAGATAGGAATATCACTTAAAATTATACAAATAGTTGCAGTTGGCTAGTTACTCAAAAAGAATAACAAGTTAAAAGATGATGATACAGGATAGGATTTCTAATTATAGATATTTGGCACGTCATGTTTAGCACTTTACTTGGTTGTTAATTTATTATTTTTTTTTAAAGTACATTATTCTGCTAAGAGGACAACCTTTCAGCAGCTTACTGACTGAAGTTTTTACTTCTACAGGTATCTCTTATTTCTCTGATTTTAACCATTGTCATCCTGGTTATTGTGATGGTGAGAACAGTAACATTGAGTCCACAAGTGTAAGTATTTTCACACTTGCCTCAAAGAGAATTTTTGATCATATGTAGTCTGTAATTTCATTATGACATATATATGCGTAGTTTTGGAACATGACTGTTCTGGGACAGACAAATAATTGAAAAAATAAATATGAATAGCAGTAAAGAAACTGTTAAGATGTACTGTATCCTTTTTTTTTTTCTTTTATTGCAAATGAGCAAAATTAGAAAAAGTGTCCAAAAACTACAGATTAATTGGAAATTACAGGTGATATGGCTAATAGCAGGTGGCTCCTGAATGGACATGTGAGGTTGTCTGTCACTTGAGAAATCTTTAATTTTGTCCATTATTGTCAGATGGCCTATATTTGCAATCTTAAAATAGATAGCATTTTAGGAATATTTCTTTTTCTATTCATATAATGATTTTATAATAAAAATAGAATAGAAATAATGAAAAGAAAAAGAAGACGACAATAATAAAAACTTTATTCTGTCATTTGAGAAAGCTACAATGTAAGGATGCAAAGCTGTTTTCCAGCACTCATACTTTGAAAGTAGTATTTAACATCACAGTGTTCTAGGCAATTTAATTGATGTGAATGTATGTTACAGCAATATTTTATAATTATATTGCAAGAAAGTGTTATGGATCTGTTATCTTTCCTTTATGGCCCAGAAGGTCTGCTTTATTCCTTTTTCCTTATCCTTTAAATGTGAAGATATATTAATAAAGATGACAAACTCAATTTCTGAATGTGCTTTTTATTTATGGGAATAGTTTTATATAGTATTTCCAATGTTCCTGTAAGAATTGGATTCTTCCACCATGATTGTTGCAGCAGTGTTACACATAATTGTTCATTTGTCTTATTGCTGTGGAACATGGGTTAATGTCAGGGCATTCATGTTTAATGCTAGGAAGATCGCTAGAATAGCAGCTTCTGAAGTTGTACCAGATGATGTTGTCTATCATCTATAAAAATGATGCTCTCGGAACAGTGTGGGACTTCCTCCCCCCACTGTCTTTCTGAAGCAACATGTTTTTCATAGTGTCTGTTAAAGGAGTGTTTGAAAGGGTAATCTCAAAATCCCCTGTCAAAAAAGGAAGAAGCTATATATAATGGTTACTGATGACCTTGTTACTATGGTAACATTTATTCTCAACAGTAGCGAGGCACTGAAAAATGTGGAATGTGTGGCTTTATTTTTTCTTATGATAAATAGTATTGGGTATTGGGTAATTCTTGGAGTTTTACTTTTTAATTTTTTTTAAGACTGCCATTTTTGCCTTTACACTTGTTGTTTTCAAAGATGCATTTAGCAAGTTGGTAAGCTGTTAATCAGAATTTTTTGCTTCGCAAACATTCTATCAATGTCTGCTTTTACTATTTGTATTATACAGTCGGAAATAGAGATACACTTTAATTATTAAAACCCTCTTCTAATATTTTGTTAATGGTATGATGGTATGCTATCTCTTTTTTTTTTCAGTGAGAATAAAGCACACTAATATATTTTAATATGGTCCCATCATAGTATTTTTAACTAGTGAAACAAGTAAATAATGCATTTTCTGGGAATCCTTATTAAAGTAAAATAGAAGTTGGAGTTTTCAGAGATGTGAAAAAATCAGTCCTCGGATCTGTCATGTTGGAAAATAATTTGTACAATCCCAGGTAAAGGTTTGATGGGACCAAGAGAGAATATTTAATCCCTACCACTGTCACACAAGCAGAATTGATCGTATGCCTGTCACCTGACAGGTGATTGTCTAGTTTCGTCTTGGCAATTCCATGAGTTCCCATTCCAGTTCTTAACAAGACTTTTTGTACAAATTCTTCATAAATATGTATCCTATATCTCTTTTACTGCATTTCATGTTGCTTGCTTCTTGGCTGAACCACAGTGGATATGGGCATCAAACTGTTCATTCTTTTTCAAACACAGTTCCTTTCTGTCATTTCCTGTGCTATTGATAACTCTCAATGGCTGCCTTAAGTTCTCTGTGAATTAAAGGGATACTGTGGTGCCCCAACTGCCTGTGGTATTCCCACTGAGGAGCAGAGAAGAAAGATCTTACATGCAAAATGTCATGAGATCCCTTTCAACTGTAGCTTTTGGGAATTGCCGCTCTCCTGTTTACGTAACCTAGTTTGATGTTTGTGTCTTTGGAAAATAGCTTGATGTGGTGGACATGCCTTGAGCTTTCAGTCTAATAGAAGCACCAGGTCCTTCTCTGCAAAACTGTGAACTGGCAATTTTTCCTTTCTTTCACTCTGTTCTCATGAAGTTTGGGGGTATAAACTGTTCTCCCCTCCCTGTTCTTATTAAGCCTTTTTTGCTCCTACGTAACTGTAGAATTTGTCATTGCAGAATTCAATACATCTCTATCAAATGATTTCTCCATTTACCAACATATTTATGATTTTTCTTTTTTCACCCTGTTCTCTAGCATGCTTGTGTTAACTGCATATTTCATACTTCCTGTTAAGGGTGCTTCTTACTTTTTGTTCCATCATTCAAGTTACGGCTGGATACATTGAAAAGTGCTGGATTCAGGTCAGGTTCCACTGGAATCCCGTTCAGATATCTTCCCAGATACTCCGCTACTCTTGAGTAGTAATCAGTTTTCACTTACATTTGGATTTTTCAAAGCGAAGTTTGCTTACCTTTGAGAGGTACAAGAAACTTATCTGGGGATGATAAAACTGTCTTTTTGTTTAAATGAAATCTGTATTCTAGTTGAAAATTATATGTTATTTAGACAACAGAGAATATAATTTTTCCCTGAAACCTTCTGCAATGTGTTAGACCATCAGCAAAACAACACTATTATTACTGTTTTACTGTTTTTAATGATTTGATGTGCATGAAACTGTAGGCTGAAAAACAGCAATTACAAATCTTTGGAGTGTTGCATTTCTATTTTATTTATTTTTTGGTTACTTTTGGAATGGAGTGGGTTGTCCGGGGACATTATAGGAGTGTTATTTTCTTGTTCATTTTCAGGAAAAAATTATTGTATTTATCATGAGAGATTACTTAGTTTACCTTATTTCCTCTTCTTACAAATATGTGAAACTGAGGTACACTTGGTTTTTTTGCCTTTCCAGTTTTGCTTTTGATTAGTGTAATCCACGTGATTACTTTTGTCTGAAGAATATAATGAACCTGCAGGTAAAATCTGGTGTTCTGGGCCTAGTGTCTACTCTCAATAGTTTAAGATGTTGGATAAAAATACATTTCAATAATCCATTCTTTACTTTATTTCCACCTGCTTATAGCAGGGTATTTTTCTACTGTGATCAAAAACAATGGTTTAGAATTATCTCAAACTGTAAATGTGCTGTATGTTAATACTGCATAAACTAATTTCACTCTTCAAAGCTGAAACTAACATTCATAGCTGTAAAAAGCAGTATTTTACATAGCATATAAAGATGTATCATTTTAATTCGGTGTTTCTTTTGGAAAGAACGTCATGATGTCAGTGTCTGCATAATACATAAATCTCTAGGAAAATCTTAAAGAGCATCTGCTACACATAAATAGGATGTGAGAATTACTCAACTGGCAGCTGATCACAGGATTGAAACACCAAGTGTTCAGGAAAATAATTTGGAAGTAGAAAGTTGATTCTTTCCTTTATATAAATAATCCAATAGTAAGCAAAGATAAACTTTAATATGTGATGAAATTAACAAAGAAAATAAGCTACTGTATATTTACAGAGCTGCTAAGTAATTCATTAAGGAAGAAAGAGGTGTTAAAGCAGCTGTAACTAAGTGGGACTGACGTACAGCTTTGCTTTGTCTATGTTCTTTAACAATCAAGATGACTTTGATTAATATAAAATTCAAGGCTAATCTAAGCATTTCTCATTTTCTTTCCATTGTATTGATTAAGTTATATTCAGTATCTGTAAACTTTTTCAGTATCTTTAAAATTTTTAAATTTTAACAAAAACTAAAAAGGTATTTTGCCTTAAAATATAATTGAATTGAAACATTAAAATTAATTCCCTAAATGTCTAAATCATTTGATTAAACCTGAATTAATCTGCCATGTGTTCCTAGACTATTATGATAACTGCTGGTTTGCACCTAAACTTGGTGGTTTGTCACTGATCTTCAGTCTCAAACGATGGAAGTCATCTCATTCCAACATGTAGCTCCTCTTTCAAACATATGACTTTGCTTCAAGCTGGGTTGAGATCAGGGGCATATGTTTCTTTTGCCCTCCTTAAAGATATTTTGTTTCTGATGCGCTCTGCTGCTCTACTATTTTTGTCAGCATTTTGACAGCAAAGTGACAGAAAAGACTTTTGCATAGCATGGATCTTAAGATGGGGAATATTATACTGTAAATGTTTTACAAGAAGTAGAAGATTGCTGGTTTAGACTGCCAAACAAAATTGCCCAACTCTAACTCATGATCCGGATGTGAAATGCCTTTTACCCTGTTAGGAGGTCCTAACCTTTACCTGGTTCATTTGTTTTTCAGTTTCCCCCATTCTTACGTAGGTAAACATAAGTATTTTCAAAACATTTTAAAACTCACTAGCGTGTTTACTTAAGGGAAAGGATAGCATAATATACTAAAGACTAAGTAGAGTCTTACTTTCTTAACCTCTAGGCTTTCTTCCTTACTAGACTTCACTACATTCCTATGGACAGTTCTTATTGTCATTCTGTCTTGCAGTTATCTTACTTTCAGCTGAGACTTTTTCCAGTCTGGGAACCCCCTTGGAACATCTTTTTGTTCGATCTTTTATTATTTTAGTTCCAAGGATCACAGTTATATTACCTCTCAGCTTTTGCTGTGTGTTACAACTTCTACTATATGTGATAGACAGTAGAGCTCTCAGCGAATGTATTTAGTATCACTAATGTATTTCCTCTGTTAACTTTCATTGTGTTTCATCTGACTGCTTCTCCATCTCCAGCATGAAAAAAGCTTTGTGTTTATGCAGGCATGGCCTGTGTTTTTATACACAGTGAGGAGCAGTAAGCTGCCTGGTTTTGTCTTTTATAGATATTCACAGCTACTGCTATTCTCGTATTAGCAGCAGTTAAAATCTTGCCCTTACAGTTCCTAACAAGAATGTAGGTCAAACTGGTCAGAACAAAGGCTGTTCACAGAAAAAAAAAAAAAAAAAAAAAAAAATCTCGTTTAAAGGCACACTCCTTCAGGAGCGTACAGTCTTATACAACTTGTTACCTCACTTATTTAAAAAAAAAAAAAAAAAAAAAATCCATCTTGAACAGTAGCAGCAGGATTGAAAAAGCAGAACTGGTACCCTGTTACCTGGTATTCTTCTGATAGACTCTTTCAGCCTATGTATGTACTTGCTTACACAGATGCATGTATTTATATGAATGTATGTATGTTTACTTATGGCACTTGATATTTCCATCAGGTGCCCTTTACCTTGTAAGTCATTTTAAGTGATTATTCAGTGGTTGGCTCTTCCCTAACTAACAGCTGCTGCTTCCTGACAGAGTTTTCTCTTTCCCAGTCTGTCATCTTATTTTATATAGACACTTTCGTGTCACTTGCACCCTTTTCCAGCAGCTTTGCATAAGCCTGTATGTCCTGCAGACTGGTCTTGGGGTGATTTGTTGTTGATATGATCAGAACTCTAGAGCTGTTAACTCTCAGTTCTAAATGCTCAGAAATGAAATTTCTTACTGTGTTGCTTTCACTTCTTAGTTTACGTATGACATCTGTGTGAGATTCCTTAATTCCCAAGGTATGGAAAGGTTTTTTGAAACCCATGCGGTGGTATATGACTTACTGTAAGAAATAGTCATGTACAGTTGCATGTCACCTGTACCAATGTGCATTGTATGACATTGCAATCTGCTGGTAATGTTTAAATCATGGATCTGAAATTCTTCTTCCATACTGCAACTAGAATGGAAGGAACTTATCTTCTTATGCTGCTAAATAAGCAGGATTTTGTTCTCTTGAATTTTTTCTCCCCAAATAATTCTCCTAATCTGATTTGCCATTTATCCATAAAGCAAAGCTATATTTTGTTGTGTAGCTTATGCACTAGCAATATGCAAACACTGTCCTGGGGGAAGACTAGCTCCTGTGACTTTTTTTTTTTTTTAATTTATTATTTGGCCACTTTACTCAAAATGAAATGAAATTCAACTGAAATTCACATGCTTTCTACATTCCTTTTTTTAAATACCTATTTATAGGAGTTTATAATATAGTTATACTGTTGCACAGGATGTACCATTTTCACAGAAATTAAATGTGTTTCAGACAAGGGCATTCTTTATTTCTGTGCGTTTTTGTAATATATTGCTTTGTATGGTATTAGATAACCTAAGTGTTAATTATTTGAGAAGGGGGTAAGGAGGCTTTCACAATTTCTTTTGTTGAAGGATAATAAAATAAATTTTCATTCTGTATATTTGATATCAAAGCTGACCTCTAGTGGTTATGGAGTGGAACAGTTGTGATGTTAGCTTTCTATATCCCATTTTTTTCTTTTGGAATGTTACTGATTTTTTTTTTTCCATTTAGATGTGAATGTTTTCCTGAAAAATAATACATTCAAAATTATGAACATGAATTGTCCACAGACATCGCTAGTGATTTGAATCAGTGACATCAAGTTAAGGGAGGCTACTTTACGTGATGAACTACAGTAGCTATAGTGGGTCGAAACTCCTGTGTCACAAGACAAATTCCAGATACCTCGATTTCATCCATAGTATTTATTACCTCTATATGCTGAGTCTGAGAATGTTTTAGGAGGGCCACATTCAGCTGCTAAAGACTAGAAGCAGTATGTTACAGTAGTCAAGACAACATACTGCATCTAAGGACAAAAAAATAAACTTGATTTTGATACTCAAATTCTGTTCACTTCACAGCAAAGCTTAGCAACCACAGCTTAAGAGCTGAAAAGGTGCTCTATGTCTGAACTGAATGTGCATTGGGTAGTGTAAATCTGGGGGGTTTTTAATATGGAAAAGGAAGGATTGGCTATTTAAGCTTTCAAGAAATAGTAAGATATGAGTTCTGGAAGAGGAAACAGCAACATCTTTTTTTTTGTCTGTCTTCTTTTTTTATTCTTCTTAGCAGGCGGGGGTGTGGTTTAAACATTTGAAAGCAATGAAACCTGGCATGGCATATGCCACTATGGCTGTCAAAACCAGCTAGTTATCACCAGATAGAGGGAGAGACAGAGCTGCTTGTTACCTTCATGGAACTGGTGTGTCTTACTGCTTTCTAGGGCAGTAGGAAAATAGCAGCTAAGGCCTCAGGTGGCAGCAGCTTTCCTTCTAAATAAAAACAGAGCAGTTAGCAGCAGCCAACTTTTTAAGAGCAAGCTCTCTGTACTTTTGCTTTGTCTGTGCTTTGCTATTACAAATGTAATGTTCAACTGGATTGTGAATTTCATTTTATATTTTGTGTCCCTCCCCTTAGCTTCATTTCGGCTCTTTATTCAGACAGCGAGTTCATGCATCAAATCGATTTCAATAAAGATCCCTGATGGTTTTCTGCGGTCCTTCTTTAAGAATTACAATTACCACGAGTCCAAAATGTTGGGCATATCTTAGAAGAGCAGATGTGGGGAAAATTAGATTCTTGCCTGATTATAAAAGTCTCCATATGCTCTCTTATACTTTATTTTATCGCTCCTTTGGGAACTCGATTAATCCTTTTACTATGAGGAATAGTTAGAACAAGTGTAAATAAAGACAAACTGCCTCACTTGATTTGTAGCCCAGGACAAAAGTGTCTCTAGACTGCATGGATTGCACGTGCAAATTCAAAGGAAGAAATTGCCTCTAAATAGTCAGAAGAGATTTTGGGTTGAGATAACCTTAGTCAGAATCAGTAACAGCTTTCACCTTCCCTGTTGCCGTTTCTTGGTATACGATGACTTGAAAAGTTTATTTACAAAACTGGTCACTGAAACAGGCTGACATTTTGGGCTGTAAATACTGGTTACAGAAATACTTCAATCAAAACAAAGGAGGTGAGAAGGGTATCTCCCTAGTTTCAATTTATTGTTGTTGAACGCTCTGGCCTACTTCGGAGAGTTCTGGACATCTGACTAGCAGTTCTGTATTACAGCACTGTACTTTAAATTATTTTTAATAACTGATCATTGGAAAGAGAATAATCTATTAAAACAAATGTCTGTTTTAGACCCAAATCAGAAAACGCATGGATATTTGCAAAATCAAATGCAGTACAAGCTGTTGGGGTGATGTCATTTGGTAAGTAGTTTTTTCTGTATTTTCAATATTCAGATCAACTGTTAAGAAATTACTTCATTTAATATTTTGGACCTAGAAATTACATATTTTTAATTGTATTTTTTTATATTAATGTTAAGCTGGCTTAGAAAAAAAGCGAAGTTGATTTTGAGTTATCCATAGGTGAATTTAGTTGTTATAGCTTAAGATGTTATCCCCATCGGGCCAGATGAACAATAGAGAGGCTGTTGCCAGCATAGCAGAGACAGCAGTGTGTCATGTGAATGCAGTTCAACTCTCCAGGTCATGTTAAAACACCTGCACCAATAGGGTTAGTCTGATAGGTAAACTGAGGCAGCTGTGATCGTTCTGTGTGCTCTTTGATAACCTCTAACAGAACAATCTTAGACTGCGATGCATACATTTGGTGGAGAGTGCCTGTTGCTTCCCTTGTCTTGCAGTGAACCATTCAGGTGAGTCTCAACTCACCTCCATTATTCTCATTCTAAAATCTGTTTCTGCCTGGAGGATCTGGTATATTACTTCTTGTTAATGCTGTGATAATCTGAGGCCTCCCAGTGCTTGCTGCTGTCTGAAATGGATGTTGTAGGAAGCCTGAAAGTAGCAAATGGCCCTGTGGATTTAAAAAAAAAAAAAAAAAAAATTTAAAACCCCCCTACTGTTGGGTTCTTAAACAAAAGAAGAGCAGGAAGACGAAATAGGGGTGGAATGAAGGTGTGCAGGGTGGGAAACAGCGTGGCATTTTAGGGTAATGTAATCGGAATCATCTCAGCAGGAATATAAACCTCTATCAAATCAAAGAAGTAAAAGTTCAAGCCATTCATCTTTGCCACTCATTGCAAGTTTAATGTTTTTATTTAAAACTGAGTGGATTCAAACTGTGCTGTGTCTCTCGTACCTTGAAATATACATCCTGTGAATTTATTTTATATGCATATAAGCATGAATTCATACATTTGCTTTAACTGTCATGCGTGTTTCAGCATTCATCTGCAACCATAACAGCTTTTTAATATATGGATCTCTGGAAGAACCTACATTAAAGAACTGGTCTCGAGTCACACATGTGTCTGTCTCACTCGCTTTTGTTATCAGTGTAGTGTTTGCTGCATGTGGATATATGACTTTTACAGGATACGCAGAAGGTAAACTACTCTACCCCTCAATTTTGGTGCTTGTTGTAATCCTTACCTTCCACCCTTCTGTCTGACTTCTGCTGTTAATGTCTTAGTGATTGTAAAAATGCCAAAATCGTACTATGTTTGAATAGAAGTAGTTAGGATGTTGCTTGTAGTTAGCCTACAACCAAAACAGGATACAAAGATGTCAGCTACAGGCTAGTAGTTGTCAGATTCCAAAGTGTAAGCCTCATTGGTGAAAGTCTCCTTTGAATACTTCCATAAACAAAATACTTCTGAGGACTAAACATCTATAATTTAGCCACATGGTCCACCAGCAGAGAGCAGTAAGAACAAAAATTGCCTTGATTTTTCTTCAGGGTGCCTGACATCTTTCTGTACATTTTCCCATATCTTTTCCTATCTGTGCTAATATAGCATCCTAGCTCTGACTCAGATATTTCCTATCTTCACAACTGTTCTGCTGTAACTAATCTTACTGTCACCTCTGTGTGTATGAATATACATATAATTGTATATAATCAATGTTACATCATACTATTTAACAACATTTTGTTGAAGTGAAAAAGGTGCTTTCAGAAGAACAAGGCATAAATTTCCTCAGTAAAAATACACATTTCATAAGCAAGCAGATTCTGTTACTTAATAGTGCTGTTTCAAATTGTAGTTGAAGGCTTCCAACCTTTTTCCTTTCCTGATGAGCAGCATCATGTACTTGAGAACAGAGGAATTGTAAGATGGGAGTTACTGGTTGATCTGTCCTTTTTTCCTGCCTCCAGTGTTGTTTATACAGAATAACTTAGTGTCCTAAATGCTGCTGTAGCTAAACTACACTTGAAATATCTCAGCCAGTTTGCACTTAGAGAGCTCTGACTGCAGCTATCCCTCAGCATATAACTCTACTGTAAGCAGGTTCTGTCTTACTTTCTGTCTCCCCTGTCAAAATCTTCTGGCTGTTTTCTCTGAAGTACACCTTATTGCTTCTTCAGTACCATCGTGATTCTAAAAAGTAGTAAATCATAACATAGTACAGTAATCGGGTAGAAAAGACCTGATATTCCATCTGATCACTGTCTTGCTGTGTCTCTTGTGCCTCAGAGATCATTATTCCAGATGCTTTGTGGTAAACAGTAAGCAAGATTATTATTTGAATTCTCTAGCAGTGCTTTTGTTGTTAGATGTAAGAAGATTTGCTAGGTAATAATCCATATGTTTATAGTAGGCTTTTGGGGTCAGAATATTTGAAATTCTTCTCTGCAGCTTACCAGCTATGATTAGATACTATCAGGGAAATGTAATTCTCCAGGTGTAACTCCCTAATCTTCCTTGTATAATTGTTGTTCTAGGAACTACTTTTTTAAAGGAAATGTATCTTTTATATAGAAATTTACTTTTTGAATCTTTCACACATTTATTCAAACAAACACCAGTGTCTCATGCAAAATCTGTGCTGAGGGGAAGATAACAAATGACAAACTCTGATGTGTATATAATAAAGTATTTTTGAAAGATAAATGCTGCTTTAAATAAAAGCACTGCTACTCGTAGGATAAGGTGAAAGTTCCTCCTGAATGTAACTTGTGATTGTAACTAAATATTCTTGATATGTGTTAGGAGAGGGGATCAGAAAGTCTCAATTGCTACAGTAACTCCAATAATTTACACTTCAATTTGCAAGTAGGCAAATGACATGAAGTTCAAACTAATTAATGTTTTGCTATGCCTCAGGAGATATATTTGAAAACTACTGTAGAGATGACAACCTTGCTACATTTGGAAGGTTTTGTTATGGAGTTACTGTAATTCTGACCTTCCCCCTTGAATGTTTTGTGACCAGAGAGGTAAGAATTTATTACATTCTCCCTTTAACAGTGTTGATATATACTAATAATATTTGAACATTATTAATACATATTGTAGCTGAAGTCAATGGTTGGTCTGTAACAAATATCAGCATATCCAATCCTGCTGCATGCAGTGAGTAGGAGATGCTAGTTGTAGTGTTTAGATTCTGGCAATATAATGTATAATGTATTAAATACTACAGTAATTAATAATATGAGGACAGCTTAAATTTCCACATTTGGCATAAATGCCACTGTTTTTATTATGTTGAGAATAGCCAAAAATAACATTTATCATGCTTACCAGTTTTGCTTTGTGAAAGTGTCTCCATCTAGGAAATCCATCTGTTCAATAAATAATTGTAAGTGGGTTTTATTCTACAGTGGGCAAATGAGAAGGAAGTATACTCTAAATCCTGCAGGTATAACTGGGTCAGTCTTGCAAGTGTTCTGCAATTTAGTAATGCTACTACAAGTTATTTTTGGAAGCAAATGAAGCTGTTTTCTTGAGGTAAGATAGGTAAAGTTGTGTCAGTGTATTCTCACCCGTTCTTTTAGTTTCCAAAGGTTAGAAGATTTGGAATAAGCTGTTTGCTAACATAAAGAACAAACTCAAGATTTAAAACTGTGGTTCTGTTTCAGGTGATTGCCAATGTGTTTTTCCATGGGAACCTCTCGACAGTTTTCCATATTATTGTGACAGTAGTTATCGTTACTGTGGCGACTGGTGTATCATTAGTGTATGATTGCCTTGGAATAGTTTTAGAGCTGAATGTAAGTGAACCTATTTATTCTTTTATTTATTAAATCACTTTCTTATAAGTGGAGGGGGTGGGGAAAGAGAAAGAGAGAACCAAAAAAACAATAGTAACGAGACCACAGAGGTAGTAACTGGAATTTTCCCCTGCTTTGGGCTTAACAAGGAGCAAAACTGAGTAATTTCATAACCTGAGTATACGATTTTTAGGAGGAGACTCCTTTGTTTGCGAGTAAACATTCCTGTATCTGGTATCGCCTCATAGCAGAGATGGAGCTTGCCGGGCAGGCTGTGCAAGGCAATTACTGACTTAAACCAGTTTTAACACATTTATGTTACCTTTTTGCTTGGTTGGAACTGCATACAGTCTACTGGAATCCTAGACTACTAGTCAGCAAAATAGACTCACCAGATGAAGTCAGTCTGTTTTGGCACAGGATGTACATTTAATCAAAGGAAATGCAGAAAAAAAAAATATCCGATCTACATTTATGATAAACATTGTTTATCTTAATGGCTTACTTTCAATTTCAAGTCAGCTAATTTTAATAAATAAAGCAGATGTGGAAATATCATACCTATCGTATATAAAAGTTAGAAGGTGAAGATAACTTTTTAAGGGCAGCCTTTGCTTCTTTATAGAAATATTTTAGAATTACCTCCATATGTCCCTGTCCGTGTGGTCATTGACAATTTTGAGCCACATATTGCATGCTTACCTAAATGGAGGGAGTTGTTCTTTATGCTACGCGTGATACATGTACTTAAATGTACGTTATGATACTGACCCACAGTGCAGTTTATCTGGTCACCAAGCAGTAATGAGTGATTTCGTAGCAGTGATTTGGCAGGTCATGATTGCACTAATATTATAGAACAGGTCTGAATGTTCAGATAAGCTATCCAATTATCCTCTAGGTAAAATAATTACCTACATAGTTTCTTCTCAGTTAATCCTTTCCAAATTAAAATTATCTCAAAATAAACAATTTTCCTATTGGTTTGGTCAGGATGCATGTTTCCATTAAAATTTCTCATTCATGGCATCTGTTGGCAATTTCTCTTTCATCTTATTTCTCCTTTATTTTTACATTACAAGTGCAGAAAATTCATCTGTGTGTGTATATACACGCACCGATAAAAGTATTTACATGTGCACATACAAACACACATGCCTATTCCATCCAAATATCCAAACACTTAATGAACTGGATTAACTATCTGTGCCCATGTACATCTATATATCTGTGTATGTGGTTTACATTTATTATATGGTATAATATGTTAAGAATAAATTTACACCAGAGAGCTGCCAGTATTTCTTGCATGAATAAATATTTGTGATTCCTATTTGGAATTAAATTGTTTCAAAATAATCACTCAAAAGCAAACATTCCATTGATGCAATATCTTTACCCAGAGAGGCCTAAGCAGTTACTCAATAGTCAAGCTGATAGCTTGATTCAGTTACAAATACAAGTTGATAGCCAGGCATTTGGGTGGGTAGCTCATACCTTGTGATTTTGTTTTTCTCCTTTTTAAGAGAGAATTTGACAATACAGTTGTACATAGTTATTAGAAGTAATTGCCCTTAGAAAGGTTGTTTGCCCTGTGGTAATTATTTGCCAGGGAAACCATTCAGTCATTTAGTAGTCAAGGGTCCATGGATTTTGCTGTGCTATTCTTTTACTGGGATGCTGATTTGTGTTGCTTCACATACTTAAGAGTCTCAGGTTTTATGGAGAAGATACTCTGTGTATGTACCTATTTTTGATGCCTGTACTTATAGCTGTTAGCAGCTTCTACCATAAAAATATACAAAAGTTTGTACAAACAATGATGTGAAGGTTCTCAGTATGCTGGATTACTACCTCACCATAATTAAGTTGAAACATAGTGTTTAAGTATATGACAAAGTAAATGTTCGAAATTTCTGCATACAAATGCTTTCTTCTGGCATGTAACTCATATGTTATTCTGCAGTGGCTTTACTATAGAAAACATTTAAGCAGGTGCTTTTTATCTGTCCCTATCTAAGAGAGCGTTTAAAGAGGAGCTGAATTTTGAATAAGAGGGGGTGTTCTACTCTCTCAAAGGGAGCTTTGCTTTCATAGGGAAGAGGGGGTGTTCTACTCTCTCAAAGGGAGCTTTGCTTTCATAGGAAAGTCAGTGTAAATCAGGTCATAAATGTAGAAATTGATCAAAATTCTTTGAACTCCTACATGATATTTCCACTTTTTTTTAAGGCAGTATTATATCTAGATTGCTACATGGATTTAATAGTACTTGCAACATAAAATATCATTCTGGATCAGCAAAGCAAAAGCATTTACATAAATATGAATTATTTCAAATAGTTTTACAGATATTTTTGCAAGTTGTTTGTGATTTTGAAACGAAAGTTTGCCATATAGCAACACTGGAAAAGGTCTCTATTCTCTGGCTTTACGGTTGCATCAATCAGTCCCAACTGTTTAGAAAATTAGGGGTTTGTTCTTCATATCTAAATATATGTGCTTATGAGGGTTTTTTCTATTGTTTCCCACACACAGGGAGTTGTGAGTGCTACCCCACTTGTTTTTATCATCCCAACAGCGTGTTATCTAAGGCTGTCCAAAGAACGATGGAACCATTCAGATAACCTCATATCCTGCCTGATCCTTGCTGTCGGTGTGTTAGTGATGACAGTTGGGTTTGTTATGACTCTCTTGCATCCCCAGGAATGTAGCCATGGAAAAGAAATGTTCTACTGCTTCTCTAGTAATGTTTCTTTTCGCAACAGCACACTTCCACCATAGGTAGCAGGTCAATCTCCAGACTTGATCAGGTACATCTCACGAGCCATATATGTCAGTTTGAAGGAGAGTGGAACAAAGAGCTTTTATGTTTTGATATGCACTGAGAATTTTAAACTGTATAACTGTGTTTGCATACATGGTTTTATGCTGCCATTCTTTTCCAGGTAAGACTTAAGATTTAGTTGTTGAAATAAATTTTCAGAGACTCCTTTCAATAGACATTACTTGAAAAATGTGCAAACCTATCCAAAAAGGCTACATTTTTTTAACTTAGTCTGCAATGCTGTTTAAAGGCTGGAAATGAAACATTTGGGAGTGTAAACATCTCCAGTGTTTCATTGCTTTTTTTATTAATTTTATGATATTTTAATCTTTTAATGTATATTTATTAGCACACAATAGTCTGGAGTTTTTTTGAGGTGCTGAAAAAAAAAATTATGTCTGAATCTCTCTCTGTGTATTAAATTTCTGCTGTTAAATTGAAGAACTTCTATTGATTCTGTCTTTGATTTTGCAGTTAATTCTGGTTTAGTGCTGAAAGCATCCCTTGTACTGGCTCTTGAGTCAAGGGCAACTTTGTATGTGGACTGAACTGTAACTGATACAATTTAACTGTAACTGTTACAATTTGTGGTCTTCTAGTTAAAAGATTTTTTTGTAAATAAATCCACATGGGTGAACTTGGAGATTCCAGTAAATGGTCTTTGTAAAAATATCAAGATTGACAGAGAAGAAAATGGCATGTGTAACAAACACAGCTTGATTCTTACGTTTATAATGCTATTTATTATTTCTGAAATTGGATTGAAACATTGCTATATGCCAGGCATGTGCAACTTGAGCAAATTGTGTTAGAAAACATTCTAAACTTGGTTGTCATTCTAGTCCTCTAATTCTTTTCAGTATATGGTGATTGATTTTATCATGGTTTGTTAAATGTTGGTGATTTATTATGTCCTCCAAAATTAATTTAACATTAAGGATTCATACATGTGTATGTACATATATACATGTGTATATATAAAAACACACATACACGCCTATAGCATATGAGTAATTTGAAGTTGAGTAATATGAGTATCCTTTATATCAGTGCTGGAATTTTGAAAATGTTTTGTTATCAAATCAAACTGTGTACTTTTGAGTTAGACTTTGCATTATTGTGATCATTGTGGTGCCCTTCCTTCACAACTAGATACATAATGCTACTCCATTTTTGTGCTGCTAAATGAGATGGTGATGGTTTTTGTCTTCAGTTCATCCTGCATGACAAAGCTATTTCATTCAAGACTTCTAGCTAAATAGATTGTTAAGCAAGGATTGCTAGATGGTGATAATACTCATAAGAATAACACACATTTTAAAAGCAGTGCTTTCATAATAAATGTTTTAAGTATTATTGAGGGCTTTTGGGGTGGTGGAGATTTTTTTGTTTGTTTCTTTGTTTCTTTTTAAGTTGTAAAACTATGAGTGCTGGGAGTGCTATTCTACTTCAATTTTCCTACAGAGTCAGCTTTGGGGGTGATAATTTATCTGCTGTCCAAGTACCTGGTACTGTTGATAGAGAATATTTTTCACCAGTTCAGACCAAGCAATGCTGATTTTGTCTTAGCCATGAGTGAGTAGTCACTGGATGGATTCCCTTTCTTCTATGCCGAATGGAGTTAAATTATATTTTTTCATGACAGCTAATGAGAACTTTCTGATGAATCAGAAATCTCTCATGAGCTTTTCTGTTCCTTTTTTCTTATTTTTTTTAAATTTATTTTGTTGAAGTATGTTACCCTATTTCAAGTACTAATTCTAAGCTACCCTTGCTTTAGAGTGTCAATGGAATAATTTGTAGGATACATTGCAGTATTACTTGTTCAACTTAAAGATTCTACTGAGGCTGCGTCAATATTAACTCATGTTTACCTGTCCTTTATGAAGGACAAGTCTTTCTATGCCTTTCTACTGTGTAAATGCAGATTTAAAGAAAATTTGTTTCATGGTGCTTTATAATTTGAAAAGTGTAAAGTCTGAGGTAGTAATGGTCAATTAAATGTTTTCATTGCTGATAAAGCTTCTTTTGCTCTTAAAAGTTTCTTTTGCCAAAACTAATTGCATTCCTGTAATTAAATGCTCAGTGTTTTTGTTCATGAATTTCTGAGGTGACAGTTGGACTCACCTAAGCATAAGTATGCTGAAAAAGAGATGTCAGACGTCATGGGTGCCAGAATTTGAAGTTTAATGCTATTTGGCTAATGGCTTTATAGCAGCTATGGTTCCTTCCTTTCCAGTATTACATAGTGTAACTTACCTTTATTGAAAAGGCAAATAACAATAACCTGCTATATGCTTTTTTAGGACCTAGGAGTCTGAATACAGAAAGAAGCACCTTTTTCTTTCATAATAAAAACTGTGATAGCCAGTGTTTTTTGGAAACAGTGAAGACTCCCAAAAATAGAGTTATAGCTATCAACAAATCAATCCAGAAAGCTTTTAAGGATATAAACTAAAGCTGTTATAAATATGACAGTAGGTGAGGCTTGATGCAACAAAAAGGAAATATAGGTAAACTTAAAAGGAAACATTGCAGAAAAGAAAGTACAACCACACTAAAGAATTACCAGCAAATAAGCATAATTTAAGCCTCTAACAGAAGTGTCTTTCTGTGACTTAAAAAAAAATAAAATACAAGAGCAGCAATTTACAATCTGGTAGTTTTAATGGAGCTTACTGAGAATGAAAACTAATCACTGCCTGGGTTATGCTGTTGGAGAGATTTTGCACTGAAGAGTATACGTTAGATTTGCAGTTATAAAGCAAGTTAGTTAGTGAGCTAGGGGTTTTTAGCATTGCTTAACTACTGAACAAATCACAACTTCTGGCTCTTTATGTTTCAGTATAATAAAATTTTCTTTTTCAGTATCTTCAGATTTTTATCTTGGTTTTGCTTATTAACAGTGCAGACTGGGGCTTGTTCTAGCTTTGTAAAATCCATGGGCATGCTCCTACTGGCCTCAGAATGTGCACGACCTCACCGCTATCGTAGTACTTCAGGCAGAGATGCGCTGTGCACAAAAGTGGAAGGAGCACTGGAAACAGCAGTATCCCAAACTCCAAATGCTCTGTGGTAGCAGGACTTCACGGAGTCCAGGTGGAGGGAGAACAATAATGTTCCACAAGCACTTTCTGGCAGGTGTTTGCATCAAAAGCCGGTAGTGTGACTCACTAATTCCTCCAACTTCCTCTCTCCAGCTGAGAAGGCATTTCAGGACACCAGATGGATGGTTGCCATTCTTATAGGAGCTAAGCAGACAGTTTTCTAACTTTCTAGAGCAGTCTGCTTCTTATCAATCGCAGACTTCTGCACATTCACAAAATATTTTCTCCTGAAAGTTTGTCAGATGAGCAAACCCCATGTACTACCATAGACTCCTTAGAGAATTTACCAACCTCAAGTTTCTCTATGGAAGGGGGGCAGAATGGCTCGGGTTTGCTAAATGGATGTAATTCTATATATTTTTCACACACAAAGTCTTTGTCTTATATCATACGCATTATCTGAATACAGGAAGGATACTTATCTATTTAGTAGATAAACTATTTAGTATTTGTGACTCAGTAGCAAACAAAACTTAAGTGTTGTGTGAGGATTTATTTGGACTCTGTCTCGTGTGAACACTAAATAGAAGTTAGGGACAAAGACAAAAAAATAGCAGACTAAACAAATGTATGTGAGTGTAAAACATGAGACTGAACACGTTCCCATAGCAGGAATGAGGGAGAAATCAAAAACCAAACATAATGCACAGAGGTTTTATGTTTTTATAGTAGATCTTTTACGTGGATATCTAATTTTAAAAAGCAATTATTGAGTTTCAGCCTAAAAACTGTGTTGCAACAGTTGTTATTTGGATTATTTTTATTTTTTTTTTAGAATTGGCATGAATTCTCCAAAGGATTTGAGTTCAGGTGAAGGAAATAAGTGGAAGCTTTCCAGTTTCTGTCCTTCAGTGCTATTGGAGAAGATAAGAGTCAGGTACGTGCTTAATACAAATTCAACATTTGGCTTGAAACTCTTCATGGAGAGAAATTACATTATTTGAGTATTCCTCTTTCTGCTTATTTTTCTGTTCCCTGCTAGCAAGATGTTGATTCTAGGTGCTTCATAAGACAATGCTGTATGGAAAAGCTATAGTTGCTGTAAAAATCACACACAGCAGGCATTCGAGAAAACTTCAGGAAGGTCTGAATTTTCACATGTGGTTTCCTAAGGAGGCAATGGCCTCTCAACACTAGAAATTCCCAATAAAATTCATGGTCTTGCTGAATTCATACAAGTACTGATGTAATGATCTAAAGACTAAGTTAGAAACAAAGTGCAAATGACTGTCAGGCACTGTAGGAATAAATTACAGATGTCATTCTGTAAAACCTGCATTAGGTGGGGTCATGCAAATCAGCTTTCAATGCCACAAGCAGTACACTTGACAGGCTCAGCTGTAGCAAATAGAAAGCTCTACACTGAAATAATTCCAGACAGCCTGCTCCAGTTACCTCATTTTCCTTTGACTCTTCAATGCTGTCCTTTGTCTTGATGGTGGCAGAAAAACTGACAGTGGTGATATTGCTGTCTTGCCAAGACCTAGATTTTGTGGTGGTATCTTGTACACATTTCTCATGACTTTTGTTCCTAGAGGCTTAGTACAGTGGCTTCTGATTGATTGATGACAGGGCCTCGCAGGTGCTGTGGTAACATAAAAAGTAATGATTTTACTTGGGCCATATTGTGCTGTTTCTCTGTCATTATATTTTGTCCCTATCATGAATGAGTAACTTAAATATGTCTCTGGGTGGCAGAGGGTCTCTTTGCTTTTATTTTCATTCAAATATTTTCAGGAGAAAAAAGGCTTAGATGTCTCTGTTCACTGCATTTCATGGCTCTTCTGAAAAGAACACAGTTATCAAATACCTTATTTATGTAGCCAAAGTGGTCAGTAGTTATTCTAGGTTTTTATAGTCCTGCACTATAACTCTTGTGCAAAAGCAGTGCCCTGCCTATGATACGGAATGTATGCAAATACAGGGCAGTCTTGGCCCTCTTGGAACACTAATTAGCTCACCAAAGAAGGCATGGCTGGGTTCACGTCACATTTGATGAAGTAACAGCTGTATAATTTTGGCCTTCTTTTGTATCAGCTCATTTGGAAAGATAATTTTGAGGGCGAGAGACAAGTAGTTTCTTTTAAAACCAAATCTGAGTGCTTGGATGAAATGTAAACTATTAAGATAAACATTACAGGGCAAAAAAAGTGACATGATTACAGGGACTTACGTGTAAAACTCTTACCCTTAAACTGAATACTGACTTTTTCCTTTTATCCTGCATCTATGTATCATAGAAAAGTAATGTTTCTAATGAACATCAGCAAGTAAGTTTCAGGCTCCTTTCTGTCATGTTGCAAGAGATGTGTTGGCTGAGAACAGGCAAATTCAAATACTTTCCTATGCTGTTTGACTGAAGAAGTCACTTGACTAGGCACTAACATGAAAAAAAATGGAGAAGAGATGATAAAACATGAGCATATTTAAATAATGTTCAGGTCACATAAATTCACTTCTTATTTGCTCCTTCTCTTTACACCTTTTCTGTGTTTTAGTTTTTCACAGAAAGAGTTGTCTGTCTTTTGAATCAGGTCCATTTATATCCCAGCCCAGTGCTGTGATGTGTGAAGCATGGAGTCTAATTTTCTCTTCCATCTATTTTTCTTTATGTTACAATTCTTGCATTCTACTATAGAATAATAGTTCTCTTAAAATAACATGAGTTTTCACAGAAAGATTATTCCCAGCACTATGTAGGTAGCTGTCTAGCAGAAAAGAGATAAATCCCTAAAATTAAACTTTGAAGGAGGTAAGGTATAAGACGTAATGTAGTATTTTCCAGCGTTTTAAATTAGTGGCATGCTGCATGCTGACACCAAACGTTTGTAACAGTGCTACTTTGCCTGCAGCGTGAGACAAATTATGCTCTTAGACTCCATTCATATATTTAACAGCATATATTAAATCTGATCCCATCCAGTGACAGGGCAGTGGGATGAAAAACAGATTGTTCTTTCTAATAAGACAGTGATTTTTAAGCTATCCAAAAAGATTATGGTATAGCCCATTTTGTGCAGAAATCTGATTATCAAAGAATAGTTTATAGCATCCTGGTCCTTCCAGAGACTTCCTAAACCATCATGAAGCCTGCCCGGAAAGGTGGGACAAGTATGAAGTTACTCACTAATCACAGGATAATCGACATTTTCAGTCCTTCAGGAATCTGATGTAATTTAATCCAGGTTTTGTAAAAGAAGGGTAGTCCTCAGTTGTGAAATATATAATTGATAGGATATAAAATAATTGCTGCTAGGCTCTGTTGAAATTGTCCTAACTGTGGGAGAAGCACGTGGATGCAGCAATCTTAAACCAGCACATTGGAGAGAGCATGAGGAGCTAGACCCAAGAGGTGGGAAGCACCGCCAGGTTTCTTAATTTAGGTTCAGCTACCAAAGCAGTGGGAATCAACAGATTAATACACCTTTTGTCCTTGCGAGTTCTCTCCTCAGTCCTGTGTTCCCAGACTATTGCATTAAGTGTTTCACAGGGCACTGTAATGGGAAAAGACCATGAGAGTGAGCGAGCTGGGTCAGTATTCTAACTTTGTAGGTAGAGAGACAAGAGTGTGAGGAGATTTCACGGAGGGAATAGTGTTGCTGTCAGTGCTGCGGATCTGCAGGTGGGCTGAAGACCCATGCCATTATACTTCAAGGAGAAGTTACTCATTGTGAAACTGGATAAGAGACCCTATTTCATTTCTTGCACATGCAAAATACAGATAATATAGCATAGGAAGCTTGTTATTTTAAAATAAGAATGGATACTTTCACCTGCTTTCTGCAAATATCCAACCTTGTATTGTCTAAGACTACCAATGTAAAGATACTAATAATTCTCCTTGCTGTAAACAAATTCAAGCTTTTGGAATTGATTTAGTCACCTCAGTCTACTCTGAAGTTCACTGCAACTATTGAC